GAAAACGTTTACAACAGTAATGGTACTTAATCTAAGAAGCTCAATTTATATTTCATGTTTCATTTCAACACATCTTAATAACAGAAGCAGTCAAAATACCTATGGCCAAAATGATAACGTCAAAAACGTATAAATGCTTAGTGTTAGCATGTCCACATTCAGTTTTTGCTGTAAAGGTCGTCGGCTGTGAAAAAAGAACGTTTGGCTCACTCCATTGGTAGAGCTCTCCCTGCTGAGAAGGCTTCTTCTCGGTATTTCCTTTGTGATCATGTGCATGGAGCTGAGTGACGAGGTACTCAGGCTAATTCCAAAAAACAAAAAAACAAAAAAAGAGCACACAGCCGATTACTACAGCTATAAAGAAGTAGACAGGTAATGCACCTGCCCAATATTTTTGAGGCCAATCATTTAAGACTAAGTAGTTTAGCCACGATTTAGGAATAAAAGCCTGCATGCACTATAGCATGATGCCAGAGTGGGAGGTTAAGAAAAGAACAGAGCGTTTATGGATTGCTCTTTCCGGTGACAGCCAACGGTGAATTTTCTACCGTTGTCCTTGTGACTTGGCACATTCTCAGTGTCGTGTCTGTGCGAGAAGGGGAGAGAGGACAAACTGAGGGAAAGATCATGGCACCACGGCCCCTAGCCCGCACTCTGTGGCTCCTGAATAGTTTTAAGAGACTCAGTTCCCAGGGTCTCAGCTGCCATGTGTATCTAAAGCTGATCTCCCTGAGAAGGCGACTGAGCTATGGTCTTCCCACGTCTATTTCGCAATCCTTCTTTTCCTGTTTTACAAAATAGTGACTGGACTCACCATGGGAGAATCCCCCATCCCCTGCCCCGGGTATAAAAGTCTGGCGGAGAGTGCCTGCTTCTGAGTGGGAACCTCTCACATGCCCATCAGCCTGGAGGCTTCCAGGAGAAACGCTGAAAGAGGAGGTGCTTCATCTCACCCAGGCAACAGGCCTCTCCACCCGCCCACCCACACATCCATCCCTTCATCCACATACCCTCCCCTCTCGTCCTTCCTCCCTCCCTCCCTCCCTCTCCCCTCCTTGTCTCTATTGGACTGAGACTCAGAAGTGGTACAGCTCTGCAGGATGTACGTTAACACCATTACTTGAATTGAAATGTGAAGTCCAAGTTTTTCTGACAGAAAGTGAGACTCATTTGATGGGACTGGCTTTGCCGCTTAGGTTATAAGGAGCACACTTCCCATGAACTGGATGAATTCAATCTGTTTTAGACGAAAAATACACTTAATGAGTGTTCAGGATATTAAAAACTCTGGAAAGCATATCCTTTGAAATTATTTAAACTTATGATTCAAAAATTTTAGATGGCAACCTAAAAATGTGTTTTGTGAGGAAAATGAGTAAAAAGTCTTTGAAAACCACTGTCCCTTCGGCCCCTATCTGGTCCAGGGTGACCCTAGGGAATCACCTTGGAAGCAGATCACGAGCCACCAAGGGATTTGGGGCAAACAGGCTGCCCCTTGCAGTGTGCTCCTTGTCTGACTCCAGTCCATTTTTGAATCTGCCCAGCTCTTCAGACATGTCTGGCCTGTTAGTCTAGAAGATTTTGCCTGGCAACAGTTTGATTATCAAGTTGATACCCCTGCCACCTGCCAGGACACCCTAGGCCCGAAAGGGAGAGGCATTCCTGGACTTGTAGCATCAGAATGTTGAAGAAACCCAGGTCTGAGGCAGAGCTGAGACACACCCCTTACCTTACTCTGCTTGGGATGCTCTTTGTCAGCCCGGTTCCATCCTCTTTGTTAGGTTAATCAACTCATTTGTCAAATATTTATTGTGTGCCTACTATGTGCTAAGCACTGTTTTTCAAAGTCCTGCTTTGCTGACCCTCTGCTCCTCTAAGAGGAAGCCTTGTTTGACCCTCTAGCCTGAATTACGAACTCTTCTGAGTCCTAGCATCCTGGGACTCCTGCCACTAAGGCACTCATCTCTGTGTGTGGTCAATGTTTTCTTGGAATGCAGTAATGCCCACTCATAAGAAAGCTGGCTCCAGATTCAAACTGTTGAGTTGACACAACCACTCTACCAGCTGCGTGATCTTCAGTAAGTTAGTTAACCTCTCTGTGCTTCCATTTCTAGAATCTATAAAGTAGGCAAAATAGTACCTACCTCATGGGGTTGGGAGAACTTGACATAATTCAGTTAAAGTGCTTTTCACATTGCTTAGAACTCAGTAATACAAGCGTCCGGCAACGTTTGCTAAATACATGAAAGCATAGAGAATCCAAGTTTACCCCCAACATTTGATGCACATTCTCTCAGATTTTTCCTAGCACTTTCCTACTTACATAAAATATGAATCCTGCACCATCGGTGAACTTTCTTCCTCTAGGGATTCTGATGAGATTTGGATTAAATATAAAAAACAATTGGAGAGGAGTTATATATTATTCAAGCTTTCTAACAATGGAGATGAAATCTTGTCAGGCAAATCCCTTAACCTCTTTGTACCTCCGTTTCCTGTAAGATGAGAAATACTGTGGTCCCTGCCTCACAGGCTGTTGATTAAATGAAGTAAAATAAGCGAACGCACTCCTGTAAGTGCTTGCTATTAATATTGTTGGTATCATCATTTATTTTAACTTCTGGCAGTTCTTCCCTCAGGTCTTATACATTTTCATTTTTTTTTTATTTTGGTGAATATTATTTCTGGGTACTACTTATTTTCATCGCTATTGTGAATGATATCCCCCCTCCCCGCCCCAGTCTACGTCTGGTGCGTGGGAAAGAAGTACCTGATAGCCTACAGCCAGTAGCTGACAGCCTAGCATCACCTGGGAAAGACAGACCTCGTAAACAGACGGACTGAAACACAATACGTGAATTGAAAAGATAAAGGCGAGCCTGGGTTCTCTGCATGGCCGGGAAGGCTGTCCGCCACGGTTGCGGGGGTGGGCGGAGGCGGCGTGCTGAGCAGGGTTTCTTGGAAGCTGTAACAGGCCGCTGGGTCTTGGAGGCCAAGGCCTGCACACGCTGTGGGCGCTGTGCTCCCTTGGATACACACGTAGGCGGGGCCCCGGGGTGGGCTCCGCCCCCAGCTCCCGCTGACGCTGGGACTCAAAGTGGAAGGAAGAGAAGAGAGCAGGCTGGGGAGTCGGTGTGTGCTGCTCTACCTGCCCTGGGCCTGGAGACCCTCTCCCTTTGCTTTTCACGCTTGTTGTTCCTGAGTTTCACAGAGATCCACCCTATCCTAACAGCTGGCTCTGACTTTGCAGCCAAGGTAAAACAGGGGGCTGGTGAGGGCTTCCCTTTGGGGTGTGGTGTTGTCCTAGCCCGAAGGACATATCCTAACCCACCAGTCTTTCTCTACAGAAGAGTGGTTTCTATGGAGAAAGGATGCCTAATCCCACCCCACACTGAAGAGTCTAGTTTTCACTTCCAGGTGAGGATGCTCTCCTGGGTTTATGTAATACGATGTTCAAGCAATTTCTTTTGAACCAAGATTTCATTCTGAGGACATGGATCAGGTAAATGGAAGACCTGCGCCATCTTCTGGCCATGAGTGTGAGTAGCTGTCTTAGACGCTTTTTTTTTTTTAAATTGAAGCATCTTTGACGTACAATATTATGTTACAGGTGTACAGTACAGTGGTTCACAATTTTTAAAGTTTATACTCTATTTATAGTTCTTCTTATATTAAATGCAAATTTTTTTCTTCTTTCCTAGTTGCCAAACCTGAGGCTTTGTAAACTTCAGCGTGTACTCAGTGAAGACTCACCTGAGAAAGTATGTGAAAAGACAGATTCTAATTCCTAAGTGTGCACCTGCCTGCGCCGGGATCTTGATGTAAACTGTTCATGGGCCACACTCTTGAGAAACATGAAAAATGATGGAATGAATGCCAAAATGTAAAATGAATAATGAGTTTAAAAATCATTTTATAATCAAAAAATAAACGACTTTTTCCTTAAAGTGTAAAAGATTGGAAAGTACAAAAATACTAGAGATGAAAATTAAAATCACACATAATCCCAGAAAAAAAGCACCATATTATAATCTTGTTTTTGTGTCTTTTTTGTTTTGTACCCCTGGTACAAAAATTTCTTTGACAATACATCTTGAACAAGCTGTATCATTTTCCACTGGGTAGCTCTGTGCCGCACTGTATTTAACTGTTCCCACGTGGGTTATGGGAGACTTTAGGTTGTTTTCACTATTATAAATCACAGTATGTATTGGGATGACCATCCATTTATATTAATCTTTGTGTACAATTTTGGTTATTTCCTTGGGGAATAACACAAATGACCATGGTACAGACTGATTCTTGATAACATTGCCAGCTCATTGTTTCCTGATTTAATACATTAGTCAGAATGTCCAAAACATGAAATTGCATGAAAATGAAGGAGGTCAATTCCTCTACAGACATGACAGTCTCTAATTAGAATCATAGACTTTCCTTCCAAATGTTTAATGAAATTTTGCAACCCAAGAGATGCTTCCTCTCCAGGAATACTTTCTTATTCCTGTTGTTTTCCCTTCTCCTTTTCTCCAAGTTAAAAAAAAAATCTTGAATTTTGATGATCTGTTATTCATTATTAGCCTAATTTTAATGAAGAGGCTGGAAGAATAAGAGTATGGTGAGAAAAAGAAATAATATATATTTTTCGTAATTGAATGTTATGTAATATACCAAGTTAAGTCCAATTTTATTGAGTACTGACTTGGCCAGGCACCGTGTTAGACCTTGTGGGTATGAACTGAGTGATGATCTAATTCATGACCTAGAGAGTGACATGGGTATGAAAATAACTACAAAAACCAGTGATGCATGCTCTAATAAAGCAATGCACAAGGTACAGATATAGTAATTATAGCTAATTTTACTATGTGCCAAGCACTGCTCTGATTTCACATCTATGTTAATTCATTTTAGCATCCTGTGTTATGTTATCCCATGAGGTAGGTATCACTCTTACCATCATCATCCCCACTTTACAGATGAGGTTACTAAGGCAAAGTAACTTGCCCAAAGTTCTAAGAGCCAAGATTTGAACCTTGGTGTCCTGCTCCAGAGTTCACGCATATAACCACTAAAAAGTGTCTCTTTGTCATACTAAGGAGGGAAGGATTATAACTCTGGAGGATTAAGAAGGATTTTTAAAAATTAATACTGTCAACTAAGGTTAATTGAGCAACTACTACATGGCAAGCAATGTGCAAAGAGCTGGCTGGACATACAGTGGTGAAAAAGATAGTCATGGTCCCTCTCTTCATGATGCTTGTGCCAACTTAAAAACACACAACATAAGAGTTGCAAATTTCAGCTTTATTCTGGGACATTACTGAGGACTGTAGCCTTGGAATTGGCCCCTCAGATAGCTCTGAGGAACTGCTCCAAGGGGTTGGCAGAGAGGCCAGTATAAATCTGATTTTGGCTAGGGAACACGTGCCGTTGTGCATCCATCTTGGCAAAAATTTACTGCTGGTCACGAGGGACAGGTGTCTCAGATAATGATCTTAGTGCTTTTGTATGTATGGGGAGATACAAGAATTCATTAAAATTTCATTAAAAATTTTTCCCTGAAATATAGCTTTCTAAAGGCTTGTTTCCAAAGCCCAGAGTGCCTCATCCTGTTCTTCGCCCTGAACCCCTGCTGGTCAGCAACTGCAGTGGCTCATGACTTGATCCTTGTAGAACTGGAGAGTGGGCAACATTCTTTGTTTTACACTTGCAATCTAGTGGGAGCCACACAGTAAACAAAACACAAATGAATACACAATTGCATACTGTCATAAGTGTAATGAAGGCAAAGAACCAGGTACTAAAATACAAATAATAATAACAGGGTAAGGGAGGGGCATTAGGTTACGGTGGCCTCATGAATGACCTTGCTAAGGAGATACCAAGTCTGGAGTTGAAGGGAGAGGATGAGTTGGCACAAAAATAGGAGGAAGAGCTTGAGTGCAGGTCCTGGGGTCAGGAGCTTAGAGTAAGAGGAACTGAAAGAGAGGTTGCAACTGCAAGGGAGACACGGGTAAGAACAGATTATTCTAGGCCATGTTTAAAAAAAAAAAAAGAGGAATTTATCTAAGGTTAGTGAAGGGGTTTGAAGCAGGGGGTGGGGAAGAGGTCAGAAGGTCCTATTAACATCTCAAGAACATCATTCGATTCTAATTCTCTGGAGTATGAATTGAAGGTTGAGAGACTGAAAACTGGGAGAGCAGTTAGAAGTAGTTCCAGGCACAGTATGACGGTGGTCTGGACCAGGCTGGTGGCTCTGGAGATGGAGCAAAGTGGACACCCTACAGACATGCAGTAGGAGCAGAGCCAACAGTTCTGGTGGGTGGTTTAGCTACGGGTTTTGACTTGGCCGGTGAGGTGGGTGTGAAGCTGTTTACCGAGATGAAGAAGCCTGGGGGTGAACAGTTTTGGAGGGATCACAGGGGATCCAGAAAGGAGCTTCCACCAGAGTTCAACTAACTTAAATCACAGTCCTTTTTCAGCATAATTCACACTCGCCTCCTCTTCCAGCTCTAAAAACACTCATAATAACCCCGCAACAATAAGCAATGTGACCTGGTGTCTTGAGATGTGGAACGGGTGAGCTCATACCGGGCTCCTTGGACCCTACCACTTACTGAAGACTCAGCTAAATGTTCATCCCCTCTGCCTGCCCGGTGCAGCAGAGACTCCCGGAACTCGCAGCAACTCTCGTGCGCCCTCGCGCGGCTGTCTTCTGTATCGCAGGCTGCCGCTGGCTGGGGCGCGCACGGAATCGGATGGGAGCAAGTTTAGGTGCACGTGGCCCTGAGCCAGGGTTTCATTTCTAGCCTCTGCAGCTGAAAGAGAATCAACCTGCCAGTGAAGCACATGTCCTGTCCTCACCAGCGTGCGGCAAATCAAAAGCCTGGCAAATCTCCCTGTTTAGGATCCTCAGCTGTCACTAGAAAACCAGCGATGAAGGAACGGTTTGAAAGAAGGAGTAATTATATTTCAATTATGGACATAAAACTCCCAGGCTGTGCGAGAGAAGTCACAGTGGTATTTCAAACGAGCCCCTGATGCCCAGCTCTGATCTTGAAGTCAGATTTAATTGATGCATCTTTGTCTTGTCAAGCGATCACACATAATGGCTCCGTGAAGCCTGCCCTGCGGCTGCGGGGGTGCTTTCAGGTAAGGAAATTGTCCACTGAACAGTCAGGCTATTCAGTAATAAATGCGGGGGGCGGAGGAGGGGTCTTCCAGCCCCCTAAGGGGAATAAGGAGCTGCATCCCCACCCTCTGCCATGGTTTGAAACAAGCGTGTTGTGGCCTTCCCAGTCGTGGAGACAAAACATTCCGGTTTAATTCATGGGTCCAAACTGGGCTATCTGGCCCTGGGGTCCGCCTTCTATTTGTCAGCCAGACAGGGAGTCTGTGTCCGAGAGCGGAGGGGAGGTGGTTTGGCAGAGACGGTATGAATCCTGCCTCCCCCTCATCGTGTGACCTTGACTTCTGATTTATTTGAGTCTTCATTTCCACCTTTTGTAAACCGTGGAGACAATAAAACCATACCCTGAAGGATTGTGAAGATCCATCGTTCCCTCGCTCCCCAGTATTTTATTATGCAAAATTTCAAACATACAGAAAACTTCCATGGAGAACATCCACCGCCAAGATTCTGATATCAACATTTTTCTAGACTTGTTTCATCACACAGCCATCCACATAGCCATCTACCTATTCATCCATGAATCCATCTTTTAAAAAATCCATTTCAAAGTAAATCCCAGACAGATTTTTTTTTTAAATTGTATATCTGGCACAGTTCCTGGCCCAGATATTTCAGTTCAACAAATATTTGAACATTAATTTTGTACTAGGCACTCTGCTAGGTGCTGGGGGTACAAGTAAGGAAGACACTGTTTTTGTCCTTAAGGTATTCTGAATTTGACGTGAACACAAGACATGTTAACAGATCTCCCATAATTGCCATGATAGGGGAAGCTCAGGGTGACCCCAAGCAGAGGAGAGACAAATCCAGGTCTGTGAGATCAGGGAAGTCTCCATGAGGAAGTGACTTTTCAAAGGAGACTTTATTATAGCCCCTTTAACTATCATAATATACTTAGTGTGCTGAGCACAGAAACTGGTTTTACTCTGCCCTACTCTACAACTGAAGTTGTACCCCGAGCAAGAATC